TGTCCCAGAAAAGGGGAAGGCACATGGAAGGGGAAGGAATCTCATCACTCATAAGAAAGGCTGCTGCCACTGACCAAGTAGACAGAAAGTTTTCTTCTGGTTTCTTTCTTTTTTTTTTCCAAATGAATACCCAAACACCTCTCCTGGTGAAGCTAACATTTGAGAAAGTTGCCAAACTAACAGACAAGAGACTCAAAATTTTTGGTATACCCCACAGATAGCTATTTTTGAAAAACAGTGCCACTATCCTGTAAAACCTCTCTAAGCTTCTTTCTCAAGACAGAAAAGTAAATAAAATGTAAACAGTGGGTAGTCTGTATGCACATTCACCCAGGCATCACTTAAGGCTTAATTTTTTTCTCTCACAGCTGAACAAAAAGGGATCAAAATAAATACTAAATAAATAATTTGTCTTAACATCAGAGATAAAATGCCACATATCAAATGCCCTAATTTGGTAATCCTTACTTATATGAATCCTACTGTGCACAGTTTTACCAGTAGAAGTGACCACTACTGCTCCTGATGTTTCTCATTATACCTGTGATTAGATGATTTTGAAGATATAAGGAGGTCTTCTACCAAATCTCATTAATACCTTTGCTTTGCATGTGCTAATCTTGTACCTTGTAAACACAAATTCAATGGTAAAATTCTACTTTAACCTTATAAATATCAATATATGTCTTTTTTCAGTTACTTTAATGAGATTCCCCTCTCCACATTAGTAACTCACTCAAAAAGGTTGGTAGAGATTTGCTTTTATTAATCTTGTTGGTTTTACTGTGTTCTGTTATCAAATTTTGGACTGTGATAACAAAAATGCATGAAGTAATGGATGCTCTGTGAGCATTTCCTAGTCTCCCACTTAATACGCTCTTCAAGTTCCACTGGATTTCATATAATTGTTTAATATCATCAAAAAATGTATGTTGTTTGCTTGAGATATTAAGTAGGTGACTGAAAAATTGCACAGACTTCCTGTTTGGAACTAAAAAATACCTGGTAGAATATCCAGAATTTGAAAAATAGGTACATTTCATATTTCACAAAATGAATAACAGAAAAAGAATGTGGATGTGTATAAAATTGATTCTGAGAAATTCTGACATACCTCTTTCAACTATTGAAAATAAGTTTTAAAGTACACTTAGAGTCCATAATAATTGTTAATTAATATATTTTGAGATACTGCAGTTTACATCTATCATTTATTTCTCAGTTTTTATCCTATGTAGTAATATTCTATAAAGTAGTATGACTTCATTATGTAACTATCTCATTGCTCATTACATTTAATGAATAAGATTTGATTTTTAAAAGTGAATCCATTAACATGTTACAGTTTTTAATCTCTGATTACAGAGACCAGCTCCTAATATTTCAAGACAGAGCTCAAAAATCAACTGTTGACTTACAAAATTAATTCTCAATGTCATTAAAGGTTCATCTCCTTCCACATATACAAGACTAGAACAAAGACACTTCATACTGCAAAGTAAGATATAGTTTGCCACTGTATTTAATTGAGAATATTTCTATTTTAATTGGAAAAATTAAGAAAATCACAACACAACACTTCAACAAATATCCATGTATAAGTATTCAATAGAGTTAACTATACTTCTTAACTGCATTCCCATGCAAGCAAATCTAGATTTCAGTGCAGGGGGTACACACCATCCCTCCCAAAGTCCCCTAAACCTGTAATTATTCAAATGATGTCAGTGACACTAGAGGTCCCCAAAATTGTCCGAGTTTGCAAATGATCATGAGATTTTACCAGAGACAAATTAATTTCAAATATATAGATAATAGCTTGGAGTTTGTTGTATAAAAATAAGCCCTCCAAAAGCAAACTGTTATCTTATTTAAAGGTATTTTTATACTTATTAAAAACAATGGCAATTTTGAATGTATTTGTTTATGTTCTCAGATTGATCAATGAAAATCAACAGTTTATACTGCATACATTTTGTGCCTATCTGAATAATTTATGGGCAAGCATATTATTTGTTGTACAGGAGACAAAAAAATAAGGGTTTTTTCTTCATGCTTTGACAGGCAAAGTCTGTGAAAGTTCTTGCTTTTCCTATGCTGTTGAATAGGATTCTCTTCACAACAAGAGCAACTAGAATGGTTAAAGATATTAGACAAAAAAAAAAAAAAAAAAGTTAAATGACTTTAAGATTCAGAAAGAGTTTGTGAAGATTTTCTAGAAAAACATGATGTGTTGAAAGAGAAAAGATTTATGATTGGTCTAGATGGTGATCATTTAAACTCCATTTCCGAGACAGTTAAGAATGAGCAAGACAAATCTCTGCAAGAAATACTCTAGCTATGTAGGAATCTCAAAGTCATTTTCAGTGGGCCTTTCATTCAAATATTTGCCTTCAAATATTTTTATATTGTCTCTCCACAAAGGGTCAACTACTCCTAATCTGCTTCTTTGCAATCACCAGGTCTATGCTGGCAGGCAGACAGTCATGTAGAGAAAACAAATGTCTCTGAAATATCACCTTACTCTCTCGATGCAAGACCACTCGATTTCAGACTGCAATGGTTAAGGACTCTGGCTTCATAATGAAGCAGGGATCAAGCCGAATGCCTCTGTATGTCTTGGGGTGGAGGCTGCCTTTTTTTTTTTTTTTTTTGTGTGTGTGGCATCTGTTCATATAATTCTGTCTACCTATTCTTTCATTTTTGTGGCAGTCTTCCTAATTCCTACATAGCTTGTTACTAGCCTTAATTTCTTGAAGAAATGTGTGGTTTAAATAATATCCTGTCCTTTACTGTGAAACCAGATTTGGTTTATTCTTTATTTCAATTGTTTTAAAATGTCCATTACAGTACCTGAAGAGAATTGTGAGAATGTCTCTAAGACCATTCAAATGCCTTTATTACATTGAGAATATGATGGCTGGGATATCATCATGATTTGTTTTTCCAAGTTTATTTGAAATAATATGGAGGGAAAGTTCTGAAATTTCGTAGTGTAGTCTTTAACATTTCTGCCCAAGATTCATACATTAGCAATTTAGTTTTTATGTCCCTGTAGGAAGATCATGCTAAATCCTTTCTCTTCCTCAGTCTTACTGCAATGCAAAGCCATGAAAATATTTCAAGTTAAGGACCGAATGCAACAATGGTTATGGAGCCTGGCCTGTGCAGCAGTCTTGGAAGAATGGATAGGCATCAACAGTGAGCTTCCCTGTCTAACTTGTTCCAGTTACTGTTTGGCATCCAGTAGCTCTTAGAATGTTAAAAAATAGGTCTGACTTGTTTTCTGCAATGCAAAAAGTTCTTAATAAGATAAGTATCCCACATTCTCAAATTTTATTGTGTAGAAACAACATCACCCATAACTTTGCAAGAATTTTATACCTGCATCCTGTTTCCCAAATATAGGATTTTGTACATCACCATTTCCCAGGAATAATGTGTCACATTTCTTGTTGATCAACATGTCTCTTTTTTCAAATCCAGTAATTCTGCTGCTGGGCTTTTTATTCTATAAATATATCTTAATTGTGCAGAGCACTTATATTTCTCTAAATTATCTGGTATTATCATATCCTGCCTCAAACAGTTTTCTAATTTTCTGCATCAGTGAACTTATCTGCAGATCATATTCAGTTAATGTTTCTTTCCCCTTATCCTTGGTTTACTGTCATAAGAACAAGTATACAGAAAATGAGTCTTCCTCTACCTATCCTCCCTTACAATATCAGCAAACACTACAGTGAAAAGAAGAAAAAGGACAGCATGTGGCTAAAAAACACAAACAAATTTTTCTTTCGAAGTTTTTCCTTTATCATAACTATCACTCAAACAGGATGGCTTATATTTACCTGGTGTTGCTTTCTGCAGTTATGAAAACTCAAAAAAAGAAAAAACAGAGAAGATCAATTTCATGCATCATCTAATACTTATGTCACTGTTTTCCTCCAAGCTATATAATTGCTCTGAATTTCCTTATTTTGCATCCAGGACAAGCCTTAAACAGAAATGTTTTAAGTTCTAATTCTTTCTTGTAATTAACTGCATGTTTCAATTAGATGCTATCCAATTCTCAGACAGTTGTGACCAAATTTAAACCAAATCACTTTTAACTCCAAGTGTTTGTTCTAAGATACCTGACCTCAATGTTCAGATGTTCAAACGATTTAACAAAACATCCCTGTCTGTTGTCACTCTGAAGCTGCTATTCTAAAAATGTATACGCAGATACCTGAAGCAGACACCACTGATAAAAATGTCAGATAAACACACACCATCCTTTTATTTTATTTAATTTTAAAATAAAAATTCTCCTATTTATTTTTCTTTAACAAGTACTGATGCTAAGAATCAAACACAACTTTTAGTAACAAATTTGATTATTAAAATTGAGAATTTTTCACTTTTGTTTCAAAGTATTCCTTACAGAACAAGGAAAAACATCCAATTGTGAAACATAATTACCTTCACCTTCACTTTGTCATCCTTTTCTATTAAGGGGAGGAAAAAACAATATTAATGTTGCAATGACTTGATGACCATTATACACTTTAAAGGGATCTATCCAAAGAAAGCCAAATTAAATACGGGCTCTTCCAATTCATGATCTCATTAAAGTGTTTGTTGGCAACAATAGTCAGAGCTGGATCTGATATACAATACCATACTCCCAAAAGAAAAAACATCCTGGGGCACTGGCTTTTCCTCTAGACAATGTCAGCCCTTCCAGCTAACCTAGTTATTGTGTAGCTATACATATTCCTGTATTACTCCAAGTTGTAAACATTTTCTTAATTTACATACTATATATTAATACATGTCACTATTATTATTAATAACAAAAGCTTGTTTTTGAAAATTTTCACCAGATTTAAAAGCCTTGAAGGCTTTTGAAAGGATTTAATAGGAAAAATGAAAAACTGAAGTATACAGTCAAATTAATAAAATCATAGCAATATTACATGCAAACAAATACTAGAGTTTGTTATCCACACACTTACTTGTGACCCATTTCATGGGCAATGGTAAAAGCGAGATTCAGACCATTGTCCTCTGCAATTATACATTTTCGTTTTTCACTGCACATTCCACTCAGATATGCTATACCTAGGAAACACAACCACCACATTCCATTATTTTGTTATTACTAACTGTATGTATATGTATTACTAACCCCAAACAGGTCTGAAGACATACTGTAGTCAAAACCATCCAAATATATAACCAGATATCTGACAAAAGTTTACTTACCTGTAAGCCAGAATGACTGAGTTTAGCACAAAATTTCATAAAATATAGCAAAGAAATCACAAACAGTGGTAATATTATCAGATTACACAGACTGCAATGTGCAGAAAATACATTCTTTAAAAGTGGTGCTAGGTACCTTAATCAGATGTGATAGATCACAGATATGAATATCAATACTACTGTAAATTAAAATAGATAGCTACAACAATAGTGCACAAATCTGAACAGGAATTTCCTCTGACAGACTCAGAAGAACAGAATGCGAAGCACAGAGCCATGCCTCTATATGATCACTGTTAAGTAATGATATAGTGTTTGTCATGTTAATGATTTTTAAAATGTCTAAAAGACTCAGGTGTCACAGAACGAGAAGAATTCATAGGAGACTGCAGCCTGATAAACACATTAATTGACTCTACTATAGTTTTCAAAAAACAGAAGCCTGAATGGTAGGCTTTTGAGTTCAAGTTCAGCTTCTAAAACATAGAATGTCTGTAATTGTAAAAGCTTGAGGAACATGCAGCTTAATTTGGGTAATGGCAATTTTTTTTTAACCACCAATACATTCTGATGACATTGTCATCACTTGTTTGAAATTTTGGAGTAAGCAACCAAAATGCTGTTTCAAGTGTTTGGCCTTCTTCCCAGGAACATCCTTTCAATGGAATGGTGCCCTCTGGATCAACATCTTTGCTCGATGTTTGCATATAAAGGTCAAGTTTGAAATGTTTGACAGTGTTTGAAATTTAGTCATAATTAGCATTCTAAGTTAACCAGATAGAAGTAATTCTTCTTACAATCCAAGTATTTGTCAGTCTTAGCACAATGCCTCATGCACAACATGAAATTCAAGTAGTAACCCCACCATTAGTCTGGCAGTGTGGCTCTCAACAGAGCTGGCTGGAAGTTTTTGGACACAGAACTCATATGACAAAAAATGCTGTTCAGAATTGAATAAAAGAACTCCAAATTAGATTTGAATAAGGCAGAATATTTAAAATTTTACTACCTATTTCCAAAGAATGGAGAAAAGGTGGAGCAGGGGTAAAAGTAATTTGGGATATTAAAAAAGGCAAAACATGTTAAAAGCAAAAAAGTCCTTCAAATGACACCTCATGCTAAATGTAGCTATCACATTAACTCTATGGAAAATAAGAGAAGAAAAGCTCTGAAATGTAACGTTTTAATTTGAATGTTATGCTCCAGTGTCTGAAATGAAAATATTTCTAAAATCATTTTGTGCCTTACAGTTCCATAATTACATGCATTTTCTTTCAAGTTCTGATGACCAAATTGAAAAAGATAGAGCTGCTTTTAATATTGTAGCTCTAAGAAGTAGAAATGGTGACAATACCAGAAGAAGCAGACATCAGGGCTCTGATTTCAACCAACACCAATGAATTCACAAAGTACTAAAAAAAAAAAAAGAAAAATTACTCTTGCCATAGACAAAATCCAGTCCTGTATTTTGAAGTGTTTTGGGCATTCCTATTGCTATAATGTAAAATGTTGAGAAATAGTTTCCTTACTGTGCTGGTTTTGGCTGGGATAAAGTTTCCTCACAGTAGCTGGTAAGGGGCTATGATTTGGATTTGTGCTGAAAACAGTGTTGGTAACACAAGGATGTTTTCCTTATTGCTGAGCAGCACTTGCACAGAGTGAAGGCCTTTTCTGCTCCTCACACCACCCCACCAGTGAGAAGGCTGGGCGTGCACAAGAGTTGGGAGGAGACACAGCTGGGACAGCTGACCCCAACTGACCAGAGGGATATTCCAGACCATAAGACATCATGTTCAGAAATAAAAATAGAGGGAAGATTGGTGGGGGAGCTGCTGCTCAGGAACTGGCTGGGTATCAGTCAGTTGGTGGTGCGTAACTGTTTTCATTTGCATCACTTGTCTGTCTTGGGTTTTAATTCTCTGTTATTTTCCTTTTCATTACAATTATTATTATATTACAATATTTCAATTATTAAACTGCTTTTATCTAAACCTGCGAGTTTCTCACTTTTACCCTTCTGATTTTTTTCCCCCATTCCACTGGAGGGAGGGAGCAAGTGGTTGTATGGTACTTAGTTGCCAGCTGTGGTTAAACCACAACACACCGATGATGGCTATCCTCAGATAACACTTGGTGGGCAAACCTCCCTCTGCTTGTTGATCCTGAGTACTAATTGAAAACTTTCTGGTGTTCTGTAGTTTTTAGGGAAAAGAAGTCTCCTAACCATCTTCTGGTCTCTAAAATGGCAAGTTCAAGTACATTAGCAATATCTTTTCATATGACAACATGAATACTATCAGTTGTTGTCACTATCCTGACTCCCCCAGTTTGTTACTAAAGAGATACACACATTGCAAGTACCATACCTATTCTGCAGAAGAAGCAGTCAGCAGTAGTCAATGCACATCACCAATAATGTTTGATACTTGGCATTCCTTGAAGAAAATTGATTATGTTTGACTGTTTTAGGTGTAACACACAAAACATAAGACCTGCATTTCATTTAGATTAAATTAGGTTTCTGATTCTAGAAATGTCCAAAAGCATCAAGGGCAATTAATGTTTTGTTTTCAGCCTCGTATGTGAAAGACACATCCAACAGCAGCTACTGGATGTAAATTAGCCAACTACTAGCCATGAACTAGTTTCATGTCTTGTCCTTGGTTATTAATTTCACATGTAGAGAAAAAGAAACTGACTTCTGTAAGCAGCTGCCCTTGCTTAGTTGGCTCTGCATTAGGTAAGAGAAGGAATTTCTTCTTTAAATATGTGTACATTCACTGCAGCTTCCTGTGGCTTATTAACACAGCTGGAATGGTTCCAAGGTTAAATCCATAAGAAAAAAAAAAAAAAAAAAGAACAATTGCTTCCTTGTTATGATTAAGATATTGCTAGTGCACCCCACAGTCTCAACACCCAGCTTCAAATTAAACCACTTAGGATCTAAAAGTGTTGGCTAGAAAGTGGTAACATCAGCTCACTGACAAGTTAAGACAGGATCCTGTTATTTATCTATAAATAAATCAGTTTACTGAATGAATACATGCCAAATGTAAAGTATTCAGATTACTTCACTCTGTAGACAGGCGTTTCTCGAGTTAATTCAAGAGAAAATACATACAGTATCAGGTAAGAGATAAAGCTTTACCATTGTGCTCTAGAAGAACCACATAAGCAACTACATTTTCTTACCAAACATGTAAATATACAAATAAAATAAATCCTGCTTCAGAGAAGTAGAACTTTTGCCAAAGTCATAACAGAGGTTTATTACTACTACCATTACTGCTACCCATAGAGACAAGTATTTAATTCTAAATAATATGATAACTATTCTTTAAAATTTTCTGGTTTCTTAATGAACATCCTCATCAAACCATCAAACTATTTATTCTTTCAAAGTAGGAACACATTAACAACTTTTCTGTTCAAAAGCCATGGTTCAACACACAGGGATGTTTACACAAAACACGATACCAACTACAGTATCCAAACAAATTTGTGAGCTTTACCTACTCATTCATGGCCTGCAGTCCACAACTTAAATCCACTACCTATATTAAAAGACTACTGTCAGCATTGCCCACAGGGACAAAAATTCCACAGAAAAAAAAAATCACATTAAAAAATATGCAGTCAAACATACAGACATTGCTCTTTCTTACAGTGACCTACCACTTGACAGTGTGACAGGAATGTCTTCATTTGTAATATTGCATTCTAAAAGGCTAGAGAATGGTTATTATTTTTCACTTTATAGTGATTCAATGAAACAGAGTTAATATTCTACAAGTCTTAATAACACAAATAAATTTCTTAGCACATTTGAATTTATTTTTCTCTGAATTTCCTTGGTTTCACAACACATTCAAACTTGGTTTGACATGTCATTAGTTATGTGTTTATTCTGAATCCCTTCTCTCATACTTGCTCCAAAAGCTACTTACAAATTTCAGATGTTGTTAGAGAGACTCTTCCACATATTACCAGTTTTATCCATTAATATCACCTGGATATCACCTCTACACATGCTTGAGCTATTTCAAAGCCTTTCTGTTTGGGGAATAGTAATGTTCTGCAAATAGATTTGAGGTTTTTTCTAGATTATAAGCCAATTATGACCATAAAAAATACAGAACAAAGTCTCCGTAACATATTCTTTGAAGAAGAGGAATAGGGGATCACCCAGATATCCCTTCTACTACTGATCAAGTGCATTCTACCTGAATTTCCAGTTCATATAAAATCAAAATTCCACGAAAACCAAGCACATATGTTCCATTTCCAACTCTTGAAAACATAAGCTGAAAGAACTGAAAAGAGCCTATGTTTGTATAGCACAGTTCAGGAAAAAAAAAAAAAAGCATTTCCATTTTAAAGCATTTTTTAATGAAGGAGTATACTATATTCTCAGGAATGTAGGGATAGTATGCTCCCTGAAGTACTATCTATACATAAGCAAAAATTGTCAAAGCTGACCAAGATGAAAACCAGTAAAACTGAACAGATTCCCAGTGCCTACTGCATTCCTTATTGTCTAGGGAATATAATGAAACACACTATTATTACTGAATGCACATTAGTGCATTATTATTACTGAATATTATTACACAGTGTAGTAATTAATATAATCAATTACTGAATATTATTAGTGCATATAATTACTGAATGCACATTTCAAGAATATTGAAACCATTCATGAACTTCATGAATGATGCATCTATTTTTATTAAATTAGTATACATACAACTGATATTACTTAAGCACATACTATGAATAAAAGTAGTATTTATGTATGGAATTTTCTTTTTAAGTTTCTATACCGAGTTTTATAATCAGTGGTATAAACCACTGAC